AGAGCGTCGAAAGGGTCTCCCTCGTAGATGCTATTTTCTTGCTTTTGTTCTTGGTTTCTTCATCTTATTCTCTCTCTTTTCTTTAATTCTTTGGGGTGCTAGTAAGCCACAAAAACCCAAGATTACAATGAAGGTATATTATAATGCATACTTTATATGTCTTTCTTTTATTTATTTTCACGAAAAATATTACAGTTCGAGAAATTGGTTCATTTTTTCTTGCAGAGTATTAAATTTGAGCAATTTAGGATCCAAGCCGGGTCTGATTCAACGGGAGTGGCAACTGATATGATCTCAGTGAACTCTACAGTGAAAATGACCTATCGTAACGAAGGAACATTTTTCGGCGTCCGTGTAACATCAACACCTCTTGATCTTTCCTACTCTGAAATCACTATTGCATCAGGAAATGTAAGCCAGTTCAGATCCTTAAAAAAACAGAGGAAGAAGAAGGTATTTGTGGATTCTTTTCTAATTTGGTGTTGTTTGGGTATTGCAGATCAAGAAGTTTTACCAATCAAGGAAGAGCCAGAGACCCGTGGCAATATCTGTCATCAGCAACAAAATACCATTGTACGGAAGTGGAGCTGGGCTGAGCAGTTCAACAGGGACAACCACATTACCAGTGCCTCTAAAAATGAACTTCGTCGTCAGATCAAGAGCTTATGTTTTGGGAAAGCTGGTTAAACCAAAATTTAACAGGAAAATTAAGTGTGATTTTACTTTTGATCCGAAGAAGCTCAATGTCCCAATTTCTCTCAAGAAGGCTTGCACATATGACTGATGATGATCAGTCAACACGTGAAGAGGAATTTCATATTTTTTTTATTTAATTTTAAATCTTGATCTATTATTGGCTTGTTTTTGCTGAGGAGAAGAATCCAAGAAAGTGGAAATGGAAAACAGCTCAATGGGTAAGGTGGGCAAGGGGTGAGCGACGCGGATTTGGACTCTTTTGGGTTTACCCAGCTGGCTAGAGAGTGAAAAGAAAACGTTGGCTGCGGCGATGCCTTGTGAGCCACTTTCCATTTGTGTTTTTCTTTTCCCCAGATATATATAAACAAGAAATTAATGTAAAAGTAAGTAGTGATTCATGTATCAGTGCTACCTTTCGTGTAATTACATGTTCATTTTCTGCTTTCTGGTTATTTAGAATTCCACCCGAATTCTTTTAAACCTAAAAAAAATGTACAATTCTTGGCAGATTTTCGGGCATTAGATCTAAAAATATAATTATTTTGAAATTTATTTCCATCAAGATAATTTTTTATATAAATATATCTTTTTGTTTATCTTAGGCATCATAATGTTTGTTAAAACAAATTATAATTATGATAAAATTATGTTTGAAATCAATTAAAAAATTTTAATAATAACAAATTGATTTTCATTAAACTTTTATGAATAATTTGTTGTTTTTTATTTAAAGTGTCAACAAAAAATAAAAATGTAAAAATAAAAGTCCACGAGGGGTAGATTAACTCTTTTTAGATTAATTTTTTTAATTAATATAAATATTCCAGTTATTTTGTTCATATTTTAATTAATTTTATGAATTTTAAAATTAATAATTATATATATTTTTAGTGGTTATAAAAAAAACTTAAAGTTATTATTATCAAAAAGTACATTTAACATCTATCTAGTTAAGTTGATTTTTATAATTTACCTAACTCAGTCTTGATAGGACAAGTCTGCTAGTGCTTGGCCTGCATTTGTATTTTAAACATTTTGAAAAGAAAAAAAAATTACAAACACCATGTTGCATATAACATTTGTGAAAATAATTGGGCATATCAGCTCTCGAACTTGCGAGATCTGGCCTCCACGCGGCATGGATTTGTTATCAAATGATTAAGAAAATATATTAAGGTGCTCGTCTGTCACACTTGTGAAAATAATTGCGCTCATCAATTCTCGGACCTGCGACCCCTACCCTCCTACTCGCGACTCGCGCCAACAGACATGGTTAAGGCTGCGTATGTAATCAAAAGATTAAAAGTGTGTTTGTAGCTTAGGTTGTTTTTTAAATATTTTTTTGTATTAAAATATATATTAATGATATTTTTTTATTTTTTAAAAATTATTTTTAATATTGATATATCAAAACGATTCAAAATATATAAATTATATTAAATTTTAATAAAAATAAAAAATAATTTTTTTTTGAATTTTTTAGAACCACAGATTTACCCGCGTCCCGAACACTGCCTAGAAAAATATTTTAGGTTACTTCATATTGTTAACATGAATATTAAAACACCATGAAAGAACCCCAATTTTAGTGTATTTAGGTAATTGTAATATGTTAATTTCATTTTTTTAGGCTAAAACTAGTATATTGACCACTCGTTGCATCTTCGATTTAGCCAATAATGAAACGTAAAAAAATAATATTTAGATTATTAATTTTTCTTGATATTGACATAAAACTTGGTGTAATAATTTAAATTTAAAAAATCCACCTCAACTATTTTCTTAGTCCAACTTATAAAACTTGGTGTAACAATTTAAATTTAAAAAATCCACCTCAACTATTTTCTTAGTCCAACTTATAAAACTTGGTGTAACAATTTAAATTTAAAAAATCCACCTCAACTATTTTCTTAGTCCAACTTATAAAACTTGGTGTAACAATTTAAATTTAAAAAATCCACCTCAACTATTTTCTTAGTCCAACTTTTAAATTAAATCTTGTGCAGCTTGTCCCAACATAATCTTGTTTATTATGTATGTTCAAAGTAAAAAATTAACTCAATATTAAAATATAAGATGCAATAAATTTTTTATTAAATTAAAAAAAATAAAAAAAATCATAAAAAATCCAAAAAATCCACAAGAATTAAAAAAACTCATATTAAAGGATAAGATTGAAAAAAAAAGATAAAAAAATTATTATATAATAAAAATACAAAAATTAGTTTATTGTTATTTTAATATTGAAGAATAAAATTAAATAAAAATCTTATATTAAATCATAAAATGAAAAAAAGATAAAAAAAAATCTTAAAAAACCCAAAGAAAATAGAAAACTCATACCAAAGGATATAATTAGAAAAAAATAATAATAAAAAAGGGCAAAAAACCCAAAATGACAAATAAAAAAGTCATAAAACCTAGACTCGTGGGTACGAGGGACGCTCAGGCGCTTGAGCCTTTGTTTTACATTTTACACGAGGGGCGGACAACCGCATAAATGACAGTTCATCGGTCTACAGAATGAAAATAATTTTGGTTCCATAACGACTCGAACACGACCTCCACATTACCCACCCACGACTGTATTAATCCGGTCATGTCTTGTATTGATAATGTACACCTCATGCCATTAGTTACTGGACTAAAAAAGTCATAAAAATGGTCCTCAAAGAAATTGTATGATTTAATTTAGTCTACAATAAATGAGAATTACGGCCCCTTCCAATTTCCAAAAAAATCATCACATGACAATCACTTATTCCATTTAATAAAAAAACCAGGGTGGAATATTCGATTTCTTTTTTATTCTGTGCTAGCACTTATCTCTAACACACTTTTTTTTTAAATCCAATAATACTAGATCATTCCAATCACCATCGTATTTGTTGTAATAACCAATAATACCACTTTTCCATTAACTATTTAGTTTTTATTTCTCTAAAAAAATCCCTAATTTATAGATAACAACCATGTGAATAAAAATATAAACTTAGTTTATGTAGTATAGTAGATATTTTATTAATTTTAAAAACTTTGGGATAGACTGATTTCATATTTGATATTTTTTTTTTTGGTTGGTTTGAACCCAATAAACTATTTAAAATGTGTTTGTTTAAGAGATATGCATCTCATTATACACACACACACATATTACATGCTTTCGGTATAACTTATAAATAAATATTTTCTTTTTTATATATATATTTTTTGATAATTAAAATATTTAAAACAGTTTACACACATATGACTAATCTTCAGATATACCGAAAATCTTAGGAGCTTAATGCTTTTCTAGTTTTTCTTTTTAGTAGAGTCAAACGTCAACAGAGAACCGGCTAGATTATTAATTAGCTAAACTATCCAGTCCAAAAAGTAAATTGGAAAACATTAAGGACCTTCTGGAAAATAAAAAGAATCACCACCATTGGCCACCTCGCCCTTTCCCATATGCACAGTCGGGAAGCCTTTCTTTGTTTATCTGAAGTTACCATTCTCATCATGGCTCTTCCCCAGCACCAGTTTCAACAACACTACCAACCTCAGCAGCAGCAGCAATCTAAAAATTTGAGGCAAGTTTTGTTAAAGAATACCAAATTCTTACATCAATTTCTTCAAAACCTAGTATTTTTATCGGTTTTTCTTAATGCATGCAATTCAGAAATGCATACGCAATCGACGGCCAGATTTCTCCGGCAGTGGCGTATTTGAATCGTTCTAATCTGCAAGATCAATCTCAGCATCCTCCCTATGTTCCACCTTGTAAGTTTCTTAACGTCTCTCTTTTTACTGCTCTATTTATTTTTCAAGCTAAGAAGCCATAGAGAAATAAACGAAGGATTCTTTAATTTATTTTTATATATATTTAAATAATACCAGCCACTAATTTTTACCATTTTTAGGCTAAATCAAGCTCAATTGCTTACAATTTGGTAACAATTTTTTATGTAATTAGCTACCATGATCTTAAATCAAGCTATAAAATTTTGGGTATTTTGTGGTGGTGGTTGTGTTCTAGTTCATGTGGTGGGGTTTGCTCCGGGTCCTGTCAATGATGGTAGTGACGGGGGATTTGAATTGCTATGGAATTATAGACTTGAACCCAAGAGAAAGAGCTTGAAGGAGCAAGATTTTTTGGAGAATCATTCCCAGATTTCATCCGTTGATTTCCTACAACCGCAATCAGTTTCAACTGGGTTAGGGTTGTCTCTTGACAATGCTCATGTTTCATCTTCTGGTGACTCGGCTTTGTTATCGCTTATTGGCGATGATATTGATAGTGAATTACAGCAGCAGCATGTAGAGGTCGATAAATTCCTTAAAATTCAGGTGGGGATTTTTTTTAAAAGATAACAGCTTCATTTTAATGTGAAATGAGCCTACCAGTTGCCATATTTGTAGGATGATTTTGAAATGTTTTGCTATGCTAATGTACTTCATTTAATTCTCAAACAGTGCTTTCTGTAGCTTCATTTATTATGTTTCTTATGCTTTTGTGTATCATCTATGACCTGTTAGTTTAAGTACTTGATGGCTTCAAAGGTGCCGAGATTGTGATTTGAGCAGTTTACGAATTGGATCACAGATTTGTTTCCATATTGTATTGTGATATTTTTCACATATTTGATCTCTAATACTGCCTCCATCACTGTGCTATTTTGTCTTAGTTCAAAAGCACAGAGTTTTGCTTTCAATATCTAGAATAATGAAATAAAATATAAAAGATAATTGGGAAGAGTTTCTTTCTCCTCTCTCTCTCTCTCTCTCTCTCTCTCTCTCTCTCCCCGGTGATTATGCTTTTTGTCTCAATATTACATCACAAATTATTTGTATCAAATTTACTCAAACAACAATAAATTTAATTAATTAGATGAAAGCATTTGCTCAGTGGATTGATTTTGTAGGTTTAAAAATAATGGTGGGCTACATTAAATCAACAGATTCTACGGAAAAGATGGAAATTGCTAATTCTAGATGCATGATGGTGTGGTTGTCTTTTGCCTGAGGATCTTTCTGTTGTTTGTTAATTCTCTCTGGTGGCAACATGTAAAACATTCAAAATCATTGTAACTTAGTGATTGTGTTCAGCCTTCTAAGTAGAGTTCCAAAATTCCATTTGCTATGGGAGTCGGTGTGAAAAACATTTACAGAGGTATTCAGGCAGGTGTCTTTTTTTTCCTTTTATTTTTCCTTTGGTAGTTCATGTCCTTCCTGCTGTGAAGATATGATAGGCTTTGGTTCTGTTTGAAGTGTGTTTTTTCTTTGTTTTCAATTGAATTGATGGTTATGGGGCAGGACTTGGGGTAGACCAAACTGGTTGTACCTGCTCAACTTAATGGGAACTGGTTATTTTGTATATTGAAATGTGTTTTTTTCTTTCGCCGTTCATTTTTCACAGTGAGGTGCTTAGGAATCATTTCTTG